CTAATAATTATTTGACTATATAAATTTTTTTATATATTATATTAGCATATTATTAATATAATGAAATATGATGGTGAACGAATGTTTTACATTAAGTAAAAATGAATTTAATACTAAAATTGATCTGTTTGATAGACTAATGATAAAAGCTGAAGAAGTTGAAGGCAAGGATTATCAAGATCTTAACATATTTCTGACAGAACACCATTATATATTGAAACTTGCAAATTTTTTTAACAAAGATACACAAACAAACTACCATGAAACCTATCAAAGCCTACTAAAGTATATTGAATCTTTGGATCCTCGTCTTCAAGGTGATGGACATTTAACAGCACGCGAATTTCATTACAGGAAAAAGTTATTTGATGCACTAAGCATTGGTAAGGATGATGCTGTAGGTAAAGATTTTGACCAATTGATTTCGATATTAAAAGAGAAAGATAGTGTATATGCCGATAATTGTCTTGGGCGTAATGTTCAGATGCTTCCAGACCCTAAAAATAGGCTTAGTATGCGACTATTTTCTTACATCTCTCCTCTAGAAGAGAAAAAGAACCTAATAAACAAGGATAAACAAGCATTAGCTCAAAAATTAATACAGCGTAAAAACGTTTTATCTGACAAAAAACAAAAGACCACCTTCTTCTTAAGGTTATGTGCTATTGTTACTATAGGCTGTTATTTCTCGTGGTGGATCCTAGCATTTGAACTTGTTACTAGTATAATCACATCTTTTTTATTAGGTCATTATATAAATAAATATATCAAGAAGGAAATTTCTCTTGATAAATTAAAAAGTAAAATGAGCTATATTGCTCTAGGCAATCATCTTCTTATTACCTTCCCTCTAGCTGCTTTTTCTGTTTATTTGATTACAAAAGATTTCATTGATAACGGGTTAAATACTGATGTAGCTACAGCTGCTGCACTATTGTTGTTAGCAATATTCACTTACGTGCTAGCTCATGTTTTGTTCAAAGGTTGTAAAATATACGCTGAAAATCACATAGAAGATTTACGAATAGAGGATCCAGAAAATAAAGTGCACAAAGAAACTGATCTGTTAAATTGGTATGATCCACGAAAATTTTTAATGCTCTTTATCATGCCTCTCGTTGAAAAATGTTTTGCAGATTTAGAAAGTGAGTTTGCTGAAAGGAACTTTGACGAAATGGACACTAATGTACATGACACTAAGACCGAACAGCAATTCAAAGATATACAGGAACCTGTCGCTATGTGTTATTAATAATGTGATTTTACACATTAAAATATTCTGATATAGTATAGTTTTAGCTCTATGAATGGATTCACAGAAAGTAGACTTAATATTTGAAAGATTTCAAAAGTTGAATCCTATTCCAAAAATAGAGCTGAGCTACACTAACCATTTCACATTATTAGTTGCAATAGTTTTATCAGCACGGACAACCGATGTAAGTGTTAACAAAATTACAAAAGAGTTATTTAAAGTTGTTGATAGCCCAGAAAAAATGCTGAATTTAGGGCACGGCGAGCTAAGGAAACGCATAGCCAGTATAGGTTTATATAACTCCAAGGCAAAAAATATAATCGAGCTAAGCAAAATGTTGATTGAACGGCACGATAGCAAAGTTCCTAACAATTTCGACGATTTAATATCTTTACCAGGAGTTGGAAGAAAGAGCGCTAATGTGTTCTTGAATTCAGGGCTTGGCCTACCAACATTGGCAGTTGACACTCATGTTTTTAGAGTTAGCAATAGGATTGGTCTGGTAAAAGAAAATGATGTATTTAAAACAGAGCAATCCCTCGTAAATGTAATATCAAAAAAATATCTACTTTATGCTCATCATTGGTTAGTTCTACATGGTAGATATGTCTGTAAGGCATTAAAACCTTCGTGCAGCACATGCATTATCAACGATTTATGTGAACTTGATAATAAAAGATACAATATTGTAGATCGTCCTTAAGTTTTAACGTATTATAAAAGAAAGTAAATACGAATAC